GATAACACTATAGTTTCGTTCACTCACTGTCCAAAATTTTCTCGCTCTCCGAAAAATATGGAGTTTTTCCATTTATTTTAGTTTGTGTGTCTTATTTAAATTGGGTGGGNCATGTCCCACCTTTGTTTTCCTACATGGCGCCTATGTGAATTTCTTTTTCTTCCAATTTAAATATGGTCACCTATTTAAGATAATTTAACCCGCCCACCCAATTTAAATAAATCAATTAGAGATAACACTATAGTTTCGTTCACTCACTGTCCAAAATTTTCTCGCTCTCCGAAAAATATGGAGTTTTTCCATTTATTTTAGTTTGTGTGTCTTATTTAAATTGGGTGGGCGGGTTAAATTATCTTAAATAGGTGACCATATTTAAATTGGAAGAAAAAGAAATTCACATAGGCGCCATGTAGGAAAACAAAGGTGGGACATGGCGATCTACCGGATGAGGGTAAATGTAGGGTATAATTGTAAGGATAAATATGTCAAGAAAGTATAACGAAGGGCAAATGTAACTCATTTTGAAGAGTACAGGGGTAAATATGATCCTAAAGTATAACGAAGGGCAAATGTAACTCTCTTAAACGTTTAAGGGATAAATATGAACCTAATGTATAACGGTAAAGATATTTTTGATAGAAAAATTAAACGGAGGATAAATAAGGCATATTTATGATAGTAGAGGGGCAAATCAGACCCTTATCCGTTTTATTAATACAATCCAAACAATTCCCATCTATATGTTGAGGAGGTTGAGTGAAGAGATCCGTGTAGAAGTTAATAGCTTCATTAGCTATTTGAACATAAATTAATCTCTTAACATTCTCTCGGTATTGTGAAGCTAAGGCGCTTTCCCATTTTTTTCTTTTTGTTTCAACATATGATTTCAAGTAATTTGAAGCTCGCTGGGTTGAGATATATGACTCAACCGGAACACTTGAAATGAAAAGTGTCTTCTCTTTTTTCTACATTGACAGAGAATTTCATACTATGACTATTAAACCTGCAGGCTTAACTCTTCACCATTTTACGCTCGTATGTGCAAACACATGCCGTGCATTTATTGGTTGGGTAAAGCATAAAGCACTGAGTGCAGGTAAACTTTTTCCAACCTGAGGTGTGCATCACGATTCTACTTCTCAATTCCAGGTTAGAGCGGCCAACATGGCTCATAAACGGAGCGCGGCACACTTATGAAATTGTCGTTTTGAGTCCCAACCCCTACTCACTCTTATGTTGACAAAACTGGTGACCAGTAATTGGCTTTCTGCAAAATTAGAATGTCCCAACTATACCATCAAAAAGCTTACTCATTTTCACCATTACAGGAAGCAATGGTTTGCCAACAAATGCAACATTGGAGTGTTCAAGCAAGTGAAGAAATATGATCCTGAGAATCTACTAGCTGAATAAATCAACATATAACAACCACACAGCCCGAGTAAAGAACATGAATATTACAAAAGGGTGGGGGGAAGAGGAAAAGATATAATCTCTTTCCAGGTAACACTTTAATACTTTATGCAGGATTATCCGAGACTTCGAGCTTCTTTCAGTCTATAAATCACGCCTCCTCTAACAAATACCCCTCTAATAAATATATATACTGCACACTGGGATAAATCTCATGGATTTACCCCTTAAATCGGACAACAATGCATGAGATATCATCTTTACTTTCTCTGATCAGTGCTTCGATCGCTAACTGCTTGGCTGCCTTATGTGGGTCCTTGACTTTCCTCACAATGTCAACTGCCTCTTGATTAGACATTACCTGGAGAATCCGAAATCAGAAGCAAGAAAACAAGAAGTTGCACCACAGAGTACCAGAATGGGAAGGGAATAGAAAGAATGTTGGAGCAAACGGCACCTTCCATAGACCATCGCTCGCAAGTATGAGAATATCTGTATCCCCATCGACATCAGCATTTGTAACATCAGGATCAGAGCTCAGGTGTGATTTCAGATTCTTGTCCCCAAAAGCGCGAGATACAGCTAGTTGGCCATTCACTCTAGCAACATCTCCTGAGATTATATACAGTATATATATAATAGGCATGTCATTAACAATCTCCAAATACAACAATAGTTGAGACAGCTTTTAAATTTGCATCAAATCCATTTAGTTTGGATGTAAGGCACCGCAAAGGACTCTTGTGAATTCTAATACTAGATAAGAGAAGGTCTCTGAACTAAGATATTAGATCACTATCTTCTTTCTTTCTTTTTTCTCCCTCTCAGCACAAAGCACAAGTGAACTAGCAACAGTGAAATGAGATATTTTAGTCATCAGAACATATTATCACATTAACCAAAAAAGATTGTTGACACCATGGTTAAGTTCTATGAGCCAACTAAAAAAAACACTAACCAGCTTATATGCAACTAGTAAAAGGGAAGTCTACCATCTTCGGTGAGCCAAATGCGGTAGATATCAAATCATAAATCAGAACAAGCGCTTGATGTTATAAAGGTTGTATAAATGACAGGAAAAGACTTGCTTCGGGAGAATTTGAAGGAATGGGCAGTTGTCTCATTAAATGGTCTTTGGATCCTCACCTCATCAGCTAGCTTTTTTGAGGTTAAGTTAGGCCCAAAGTTCATTTCTTTTTACATGGTATCAGAGTCAGACCCATCCAAATTCTTAGTTTACCCAATGTCGGACCGCCAGATGTCAATGCTGGGCGAGGCAGATGTTTAGTGTTCCGTATAGGTTGAGGGAATAGGATGTTGTCTCCTTATATGGTCTTGAGCAATCCTCACCTCATGAGCTAGCTTCTGAGGTTGAGTTAAACCCAAATCATTTTCTTTATAGATCTTAAAATATTTCAACCCTTGTATGTAACATTTTTCTAATCTTTTAGATACCCTCTAAACTACATGTCTTGCGAAGAGAAACAAATGTGGGGATTTTCGATTAATTAAATCATTTCTTTCTTTTTTTATTTATTTATAAGGACCACTCAACCAGACCCCTCCCAAGGACAGTGGTAGGTTTCTCCCATTCTCCTCCTCCATTACCCCCACCCCACGGCTTTGACTCGAATTCTTAACCTCGTGGTTGGAGGTGGAGATTCCTTCGACAAGGCAAAGACTCTCTGTCATTCCAATTAATTAAAAAATTTAACTCCATTCTACCACCTTCTGCTTCAAGCACTGCAGTTGGAATATTTCTTTCCAGGAGAAGATTTATTGCAATTAGTCGGATGTGGTTCTTATGCTCTAGTTAGTAAAGAATTTATTTTGCTCTATTCACTACTAGTTCCTCAATCCATGTCAAAAATAGTCTCAGGCCTTCGTGCACTAACACATAATAAACCACCATAAGATTTGTTAACTTAAGCCTGTGGCCCGCTCCTTCACTCCAATACTCAAAGGACAGATGGAACTATTTCTTTCCAAACACAATGTTTACAAATGAATTTCACAGTATACAACCTACAGAACCTATGAAAAGAACCCACTATAAGTGTTCTCTAGAAAACCCCACCGGTCATTCTTTAGAATAAAAACAGCAACGACCAATTATTTTCATTTTAATTTATTTCCCAATTACCTAACTTGTGGAAAACAAACACTTCGTGTTTGTCTCCACAAATTTATGTCACCGGCTCATCTTCACAAATAGTTTTGATCATTGTATTTGTATATTCACCAGATAATGTAACTGGACTGGACATGTGGATGTAGAAAATGTAAATGTAGTTCCCCCAATCAACACATAGTGCACACCCCCACAAAGAGCGTAGCAAAATGGGCATTAACCCGACACCTCAAATTCACAAAGTAGACAAAATACTCTCCCAGTTTGAAACTTTACTTTGGTGGTGCTTGGTGAGAGGTGGAGAAAACTGGAAGGGGTGAAAGAAGGTTTCAATTAAAACTTGGACGTCAAATTCAGCAGGGAGAGTCCTTCCTAGCTAGAGATCTTGACCCAAATAAATACTTCATTAACGGGCTTGAAACTGCAGGGCCAGCTGTAACCGACCTAGTTACTGTAAACAACCCTAAGCTCAACTGATAAGCCAATACTATTTCTAAATTTTGGTAAATGGATTTTGGCAAACATATATCTTGGATTTTCAGATATACATGAAAGCACTTCTATGTTTTTATTAGCACGTATGGCGTTTGGTAAAACATCAATCAAAGAAAGTTTAACATGCAACTTATGGACCAAGTCATGAAGCATTTTTCATTTTTTATGCATACAAAATTGCTAATATCCAGAATCCAGTTCTCTGTCCCTCTTACCCTTAATACTCGGTTACTTCTTGAGTGCAGCTGTCATTTTCTCTGCTTTTGTCCAGAAAGATTGTGTACAATTAGTCCAACTAATAAGATTGTCTATTCCTCCTCTTCCAACAAAACCGTATGAAGTGTTATTTATCTTCAGCAATATTTACGTTCAGTAGTAAGTAAATAGTAAGTAAATTCTCAAACATCTCCTAACTACAATTCTTACAGAAATTTTCAGGATAGGCCCCCAAACAGTTTGCATTACGTTCTCGATAATAATATTAATTGTATAATTTTGACTTTTCCACATTAACCTTCACTACACTAACAAATATCTTCAATCACATAAAACCACAAAAAATTGGACTCCTAATCTTGAGACCTAGCAACGTCAGATCAGTGTTAGAGAAAGCGCTCGCTTCCTCGCTTTAAGCGAGAAGCGATGCGAAGCGACTCAGTGCCCACTTCCCCATGTGAAGCGACTCAGGTAGAAAAAAGCGACCGCTTCCCACTAAAAAGTGAGAAGCGACCAAGCGAAGCGATGCGAAAGCGCTAGCTTCCTCGCTTTAAGCGAGAAGCGATGCGAAGCGACTCAGTGCCCGCTCTAGGGTTCTGTTTCAACGTCCAAATAGCAGCGAAATGCTGGCGATTTTTTTTTTTTTAACCTTCGGTTCTTTCTCAGAATTGATGTCAATCCTTGGGTTCTTCTTTCTCTACCCAGTTTTTAACAGAGAATTACTGCCCTTTCTCTAATTTTTATATCCTTTATTCTTAGTTCTTATTGCCTTTCTTATGTGTTATGTAGTTGTTCTTTTAATGGCACCAAAAGAAGATAGTAAAGACCCGGCTTGGGCTTACTCTGCAAGAGTCCGCTTCACTTCAAAAAAGCAAACGATTCGCTTCTCGCTTTAAGCGAAATGGGGGTTGTCGCTTTTCCTCACTTCACGCTCTTCACAACACTGCGTCAGATGAAGTATCACATAAATTAGGTGTGAGAAATTAAACTAAATCTCATTGGTCTTTATTAGAAACAGAGAATTGGTACAATCCACTCAGGTCTCGGTTTCGAGCACCTAAGAATATGGTTGTCCAACGGGATGGCCCCATGTTAAACGGGACACGGGATGGGGCGGGATGGCCATTTCATCCCGTTTATCCCGTCCCATTTCGTCCCGTCCCGTCCCGTCTGTCCCGTCCCGCCCGTCCTGCCCGTCCCGTCCCGTCCCGTGTCCCTTTTTTTTATAATTATAGTCGTTGGGCAACGGCTATAATTGCAAAAATAGCCGTTCCCAACGGCCAAAAACGGCCATATTTG